ATCACCACCACAATCACCACCACCACCACCACCACCACCACCACAACTACCACAAAAACCACAACCTCCACAACCACCACAACCACGACCAACAACAACAACAGCAGCAACAACAACACCAGCAAGAACAACGACAACAATAATCACAACAATATCAACAATAGCCAATAGCAACATTAAGAATAGTAGCAGCAGTAATGGTCTTTAATCATTGTAAGAAATACAAATAACAATAGTGACAACTACAATAGTGACATTAATACTCATAGTAGCAATAGTAATAACAATATAAATGATTTCCAAATTACTAGCAACTATAATAAGAATACTAACACGATTAATACTAATAATCATAACCATAATAGTAATAATAAGACTAACAATAATAATAGTAGTATTAATTTTGATAGTACTAACAACTGCATATGAATACTAACAAAAGAAATAAAAGTAGTAGCAATGCTTGTGGTGGTCAGTATGACAGTAAGACTGGGAAATCCCAAGCAGGACATGCCGTCCTCGGTGGTCGAGCGGCTGTCGTCCCGGTATGATGAACTGCGCAAGGTCGATGATAGCATCTCGCGGGTCTTGGACAACCTATGGTTGTTGATCAGTGGAACACTCTTGATGTTCCCAGGCAGATGATCATGGGAGCTGTTTGTTTTGAGGAGTTAGTGGAGTGCTCGGCCAGTCTGAGAAGCAAACCAGGTACATGCACGTCGGCTTTGCTCTGGTAGAGACGGGCACTTGCCGAGCCGTCAGTGCTTCTGACACACTGGTCAAAAATGTTCTGGGCCTATGTGCTAGCACAGTTGGGTGGTGGTCCCTGGGTAGTGGACTGGCCAGAGGCAGGAGCCCTCCAACGACCCTACAGTAGATAGTAGTATCCTTAAGAAAACGACCCCGCAGTAAATTGAAGTAAACCTTAAACAGCACCCTAAACTCTAAAACCCTAAACCCTAAACCCCAAGCCCAGCGTTCAGAAGCAGGTGAGCTGCTCGGAGGCTTCTTGGGCACGAGCGGCTTCTTCGGATCCAACTTAGTAAGGCCGAGCCCGACCGGGCTAACGGCTATCTGGCCCTGTGCTGCCGGGAGCTGCCCTACTTCCCTGGCCGTCTGGTTCTTCGATTGGGCTTCTAGGAATGTGACTGGTGAAGCCCAAACCCTAAACCCTGAACCCTGAACCCTGAACCATAAACCCTAGATCCCAAACCCTAGACAACATACCATACACGCTGATCGGTGAATCAAAACCCCAATCCCTGAACCCCGAAGCCCTAAACCTTAAACCCTAAATCCCAAACCCTAAACCTAGGCTTGCTGCAGCACGTGTTGCACCATCGTCTCTGGTGCTGTGCTGGAGCGTGCCCGAAGTTCGACCTATGCAGTTACTCGTTGTTGGTGTGGGCTTTGGATTTTTGCCGTTGAATGCTGTTGAATATAGCAGCCTCATTTTAAGCAAGTTCTTACTTTTTAGGGGCCCGGAACCCTATTCTACTTACTAAGGCGCCTAAACCCTAAACCCCTATATTACTTACTTTAGTTTGCTTGCCCCATTTGGGGCATGGCTGATTTCGTGAGGGCCCGCGCCAGCTTGAAGTTTAGGGCTTCCCACGTAGGTAGTAAATGAAGTAATATAAAATAAAGGTGCCCTACATATTTGGGTTTAGGGGTTTAGGGTTTAAGGTTTGGGGTTTAGGGTTTAGGGTTTAGGGTTCAGGGTTTAGGAATAAAGGTACCCTTCATATTTATGTACGTATGTACATACATTGATCTTCATATGAACAAGAGGCACAAATATACATCTACGCACAGATAAGTTGACAAAAAAGTAAACTCATAAACAATCATTACTTAGATAACCGAGCAACTCACTCACTCACGCAATTAATCAACCATTTAATCAACCAAGCAAGCAAGCAAGCAAACAAATCAAGTGTATCAATCAAGCAAGCAAGCAAGCAAGCACGCAATCAAGCAAGCGAGTAAGCAAGCAATCAACCAACCCAGCAATCACTCAGTCAGTCAGTCAGTCACACAACCAACCAACCAACCAGCCAGCCAGCCAACCAGCCAACCAGCCAACCAGCCAACCAGACCGACCGACCGACCTACCTACCGACCGACCGACCTACCTACCTACTTACTTACCTACCTATCAGTCAACCAATCAATCCGCCAAGCAATCCGTCGATCAATCAATCGATCAGTAAATCAATAAGTTTCATGCATGTGCGTACGTGTTTGCCAGCAGGCACGCTTGCTTGCTTGCTTGCTTGCTTGCTTGCTCGCTCGGTTCTTCGCTTGCATTTGTGCTTGCGCGCTTGCTAGGTTGTTGTAGTTGTTTGTGGTTGTATATATACATATATATATGTACATATATATATATACATATGTATGTATACATGCATATAGTATACATCTATACATGTGTGTGTGTGTGTCCATGCATCTGAGGGCAGGTCCTATGTTGGGTTGCCCAGTCGTGAAGTCTTTGATTCGGTTTTAAGCTCACAAAGGTTTAGGGTTTAGGATTTAGGGTCTGAAGGGCTTTGTAAGGGTACTATGTTTTAGGCTCATAAAGGGATACAGCCGCATTGCACTATCGCCGCCGGCATCCGCAACTCGCAGAGTTCAAGTTTAGGGTCAAGGCCTGGGTCTAGGCTAAAGGACTTAAGGGCTCAAGCCGTTGAGTTTAGGGTTTAGGGTCTAGGCTAAATGGCTCAACCCGTTGAGTTGTAAGCCTGAGTACGACTGGCGAAATCTTGGCATCCCAGAGTTGTATCGCAGGGCTCATAATATCTCGTCATCTAGTCATGAGTCTCACCCAGTAGATTGCAATCCCCATACAGCTTTTGAACAAATACCACAGACCCGTAAACTATTCTCCGACCCCTGCAACCTAGAATGAAACTCTAAACCCCAAACTAGAGCCGGTGGGAAATTTGGGACATGCGACGACTCTTAATAAGTGAGCCGCGAGCCACGAGCCGCAACCCTGCACCCGGAAACCTCCAACCAAAACCCTAAATTAGGGTTTAGGGTTTAGGGTGTAGGGTTTAGGGTTTAGGGCCCTGAACTAGGCCTTGCTGTGGTCCGTAGAGCGAGGGCCGGAGTTGAAAGGGGCTCCAAAAAAGAACCCTGAACTAGGTCTTTGCCTTCTTGCTCTCTGGCATAGTCTACCCCGTGGTGGTGGCCTGGACTTGGGGAGGGGGATGGCTCTCCGAGTTCCTGGAGGCACCTTAGGGTTGAGTGTAGGGCTTAAGCGTTTAGGGTTTAGGGGTTTAGGGTGCAAGGTTTAAGGGTTTAGGGCTTAAGGGTTTAGGGTTTAGGGGCTTAGGCTGTAAGGTTAAAGGGTTTGGGTGTAGGGGGCTTCGAAGCGGGCTTTGGGCTGCATTACGGTATGTGATACTCGTATTGTCATTTTGGGAAGGCTACAGCTACGGCACAGCACTACCACTCCTGTTGAAGTGTATCGAGGGCTGCGTAGACATATTGGTGAGTGTACATGTGGGCTTCTTGCCTGGGAAACTAGAAATCAACGCCCTGCTTCACATAGGTCTAACATCGAAGGGTGTAGTGCTTGGAGAAGAATTTAAGGCCTCGGGATTGGGGCTGTTGAATTCAACGTACACCTCGGTTTTGTCTCTTAGGGACTAAACTCAGACCCAGCAAGCTGAAATTCCCAAAGTCCCCTATAAGCCCCAGATCCTTGTGTATGTCTTGCCCGGATGGTCCGCAGTGACTGCTTGCATCGAACCCCCCCAAACCCCCCAAAGCCGAAACCTCCGGGGTCGATTTCATTAGCCATACTATCCCCTTTGCGCCTCTGTCTTTCGTACTCTGTAGTATACCCCCGAAACCCTGTTTCAAGTATTGAGGCCTTATATCATTGTGGTGCTTCAGGGTCAGGGGGGGGCTTCCGGAGGTGGAGGTTGTGTTCGTCTGTTCAAGTACGGTGTGAGCAGAGCTGCTTCTTTAATGGGTTTTGTTGGCAGGTTTCGGGGTTCATTTTTCAAGGTTTAAGGGTTTAGGGTTTCCTTTGGGCTTTACGACAACCGGCTCCAAGAAAGCCAACAAGAATGACGGCTAGATTCTGCGAGCTCCTCTCTGCTGCGCAGGTAGGGTACACCGACTTTGCCGGGGGTTGCGTGGTCCACGTGCTGGGTGGATCCTTGCTTGCTGCAACTAAGAAGTACGATCCGGGGTTCCGGGAAGTAAACCATAAGGCTGCCTCGTTGGGCTCAGGGGGCAACATACCGTTGAGGGTCTAGAACATTTTCATGAAGGCATACCCTAGACCCTATAAGTTCCGGGGTTCAGAGGGATTTCGGCAGGCCCGCATTGATTCGCTGTTGATTCAAGGGTTCCTTTGTTTCAGGCTGATCAAACGGCATGACTCTTTGGTTGCTGTTTCCAGACGCTAATGGATGCACCCAAACCTTAAGCACTAAACTGGACTTTGTTCAGTCAAGGGACTTTCCTCATCTTCGATCCGTTTCGACAAGATTTTCGGGGTTAACGCAGAGAGCCACGTGCAGCTGGCCGTACCACTTCAACCGAAGCCGAAGCCACGTACTGAACCCCTAAACCCTAAACCTCCCAGCAAATCTGACTTCTCCCTTTGCCCACCCCGCCTGTTAGCGGAGGATCCGGCTCTCTCATGGGGGCCGTCCTCATGGGCTCCAGACACGACCGCTTTGAGCAACCACAAGCTTCTTTGCTCACAGGTAGATTTTGTTTGAGGGCTTCGGGTTCCGAGCAACCCTAAGCCCTAAACCCTGGCTGCGCTTATGCACGGGAGTTCGGGCTTTTGAGATCATTCTGCGAATTTGTGCTTCAGGATTTGCGTGTTGTGCGAGCAGAGGGTTTAGGGATCAGGGTGTAGGGTTTTGGATGGCCGTGAATCGCTGTTTTCGCTAATCTAGGATTCTATGAAGGAGCAGAGGCTACTCAGTATTTGCGGCATTGCCTTCAAGCTTTTGTTTCGGCTCGATCTCTCAGTGCTAACTGAAAGAATCATTGGAGCAGTGTACCATGAATCCTTGATACGGTCCGCAGAGCATAGGTCCACAAGGTTCAGGGTGCAGGACGAGGTAAGGCCCTAAACCCTAAACCCTAAACCCTCAAGCCCTAAACCCTAAACCCTAAACCCCGAGCCCTAAGCCCTAAGCCCTAAACCCTAAGCCCTAAACCCTGAACCCTCAGGATTGGGGGGGGGGAAGAAGGGTAGGAAGTTCGAAGGTTTGGGGAGCTCCAGGGCCGAACCTACAGTCCGGACATCAACACGAAGCCCAACATGAGCCTCCAACTTCTGCAAAAATCAGAAGATGCCTTATCCTACCTTTGGTTAGTAGGGAATGGAAGAATGGTAGTAATGGTACTTATAATGGTTCCCATTCCTCCATTCCCTACTAACCAAAGGTAAGTTATGGAACAACGCACTCAGAGCCCCTTTTATCAGAAAGCATCGAGTTCTCCAGCTCGCAAACACGTGGCGAGTCCGAGGCTTTCGACCCTCACAACCTTCCACTCTTGGTCCTCGGCACCCTCTTCCTTTGGGTAGGCTGGTGCCTCGACGGCAGTCTGATTTATGAATTCCTGTAGGCCTGCTTTGGGGGGTCCGTGCCAAACGAAACAGTAGGAGAGGAGGCCCAGAGGGGACCCCTGGAATGTCTGCTCCCCCATGTCCATACACTTTAGGCCACGAAGTTGATCCATAGTGGGCTTGGTTCTGCGGTTCGGGCCGGGTTTAGGGTTTAGGGAGCAAAAGCCCACATACTTCACAAGGTACTGCATACCTCGAGCGCCCCTTCCCTCCTTAGGCGCACAAGGGCTTCTGCACCCTTCTGCGACACTTACCGTTTTGATTTCCGCAGATGCCGGTAGACCCCACCCCGAAACCCGAAACGCCACAAACCCTACAACCCACAATGAGCCCGTCAACCTCCTCTTCCCAGCATCCTGGAGACCTAAATCCCCAAGAAGCCCACCTAGGTAACCTAGTTCCTAGTAAGCTCTAGACCCTCACTCCTGAACCCCCAAAAACACTAAAGCCCAAAACCCTAAACCCCCCGAACCCCCAAAATCCCAAAACCCCTACAAAAACCACCAAGAACCCCCAAGACATTC